ATAGATAGATAGATAGATAGATAGATAGATAGATAGATAGATAGATAGATAGATAGATAGATAGATAGATAGATAGATAGATAGATATACAAAAATAAACTACTACTTACTATTATTCCCCCACGATAAATGAGGGACTACTGTATGCTGTTTTGCTTAAGTCTGACCTTCTAAAATTAAACGATGTGAAACGTCTGAACTTGATTCAATAATGTGTTGTTTCCTTAGGTGCCAGTGTCTGTGTGCAGTCCCAGCTGTGTACCAGGGTCCAGGAAAGCTGTCCGTCGTGGGGAGCCTGTCTGCTGCTTTGACTGTGTACTATGCGACAGTGGCAAAACTAGCAATCAGACAAGTGAGACTAAAATACCTACAATTTTATTTTCACAATCAAGTTATATTTGATGCTTAAAATACTTTGTTTTTAAATTGTGTTTTCTGTAGATTCAGTAGAATGTAAATTGTGTCCTGATGACTTCTGGTCAAACAACGAGAGAACAGCCTGCATCCCCAAGAGAGTGGAGTTCTTGACCTATGATTCCTTGGGTATTTCTCTGACAGTGATCTCTGCAGTAGGTGCTTGTCTCACAATGGGAATTCTTATTGTGTTTTTCTATCACAAAAATACAGCAATAGTTCGTGTGAATAACTCAGAACTCAGCTTCTTTATCCTGTTTGCCCTGACATTGTGTTTTCTGTGTTCTCTTATTTTCATCGGAGAGCCAACGTTTTGGTCCTGCATGCTCCGCCACACTGCCTTTAGCATCACATTTTCACTTTGCATCTCCTGCATTCTGGGAAAGACTCTGGTGGTGTTGGCTGCTTTCACAGCCACAAGGCCAGGGAACAACATCATGAAGTGGCTTGGGCCCAAACAGCAGCGAGCTATTATCTTTAGCTGCACCCTCTTCCAGGTGGTTATCTGTGCTGCCTGGCTTATTGATGCTCCACCTTTTCCATCTCGAAACACCAAATATGAACGCTCAAAAATTATACTAGAGTGCAGTGTTGGATCTAGCTTTGCATTTTGGTGTGTTTTAGGTTATATAGGTCTGCAAGCATGTCTCTGCTTTTTATTAGCATTCCTGGCTCGGAAGTTGCCCGGCAACTTCAATGAGGCTAAGTTTATAACTTTTAGCATGTTGATTTTCTGTGCAGTGTGGCTGGCATTTATTCCTGCCTACATCAGCTCTCCTGGGAACTATGCAGACGCAGTCGAGTCATTCGCCATTTTAGCCTCAAGCTTTGGCTTGCTGTTCTGCCTTTTTGCTCCAAAGTGTTACATTATTTTACTCAAGCCAGAAAAAAATACTAAACAATATCTGCTGGGAAAGGAAAAGAAATGATACATCACAGCTGGTCTTAAATACTTCATCCATCCATCCATTATCTTTACCCGTTTATTCCATTTTGGGTCACGGGGATTTTAAATACTTGACAATTCTTTTTTTTTTTTTTTTGTTGCCCTTTTAATTTTTTTTTCTATACCAATACATTATAAAATCATTTCCTTGTATTCTGACTTGGTAAATTAAGTACTGCATCATGCCTGGAAACCTTTCATAGTGTACAAGAAAATAAAGCTGTACCAAAGCATGAGTCACTGTGTGTCTGTTGTGCAAAAAAGAAAAACATTAAAGTTTACTTGTATATATTACTACCTCAAGTTCTGATGCTTAAAAATCATATTAAACACTTCCTTCTACTTTCTTATTTTGGGGTTCTTAGTATGCAAAATTAGTATTTAGAATGGTGTTCAAAAGCATTTTGAATTTTATCACAGGGCTTTTTTTTAACATTAGTCATGAAATTGAGGAAATGAACTTTTAGCAGCCATATACAAATCAGAAATTCAAGTTCTTAACTTTGTTATATAAAAAAAAAGATAATGCATTTGCTTTTGTGCACATCTCTGTTTATGTACAACTGTCTGTTAGCAAAAAAGTATGAACTATTGAATGGAGCTTATTGAAACTCAGATAAAGTAATTACTGGATTTACAACTAATTAACTTTTGAAGTCAAACCAATTTAAGATGGCTGCCACATCAAATTAAATTTTGTAAACACAAGCTTAGCTATAATGCAGTCAGTATACAGACTTAAAGGACATTCTCTACAGGGAACTTACAGAGGGTAAGATAAACTGTGACTGCCTAAAACTGCTTTAAATATATCTGCAAAACATCAAGCTACTAGGAACACCAAACTGGGAACAAGAAACATCTGACGGAAAAAAATTGAGAGGCCTTATAAAATATGGCTCAAAAACAAAATTAGGAACTTATCAAATTAAAATAACTGAGGAATAGGAGTTAAACCAATACCCCCCCATGCAGATCAATTTGCTTTCCTTTGCTACAACTGTGGGAGAGGGCCTTCTCCTGTTTCCTGGAATACCTTACAAAAACAATTGAAGCTCTCGACCTTGACCTCTCTAAGTGGCTTTAAGAATCTGTTGGACTCCTGGCAGGGACCAATGCAGACATGTTCCTGTTTTTAGTTTTCTACATTCACCTTAGCATCTAGCTGTTTTTTTTGTTACCTTTTTCTTTTAGCCATACTATTGGTTAAAAAAAAAATAAAATAAAAAAATAACTGGAGTATGACTTTTTATAACTGTTTATTGTTGTCGCTGTTGTCCATTGTTGTCATCATTCTTTGTTGAAATCAGGTCTCTCTTGTAAATGAGTCCTCGAGGCTCAATGGGATTTACCTGTCTAAATAAAGGTTGAATGAATGAAAAAAACTCTGCAAATCAAAAATAGGACTTATCAGCCATTCATGTCAATGTTCTGATGGCTCTTATTGAAATTTTCATAGTTGGGAATAAATAAGGTCTGACATACTGTACACTTTGTGAAATAAGGGGAAGGGGATACTCTCGTCTCCCCTGCTGGGCTAGGGATGCATCTAAAAGCACACCTAATACAAGTAGTTTGCTAAGTAAATCACATAATTGATTTCACCCCAAAAATGCACGTTTTCTTCATATTGATGTAAATATAGCTAATGGTTTTCATTCGCTCAACCTTTATTTATACAGTTTAATCCCATTGAGTCTCGGGGGCTCATTTACAAGAGAAACCTAATTTTAACAAAGAGTGATGCACAACAAAGACAACAGTAGACGGTCATAAAAGAAAGCATACAAATTGAGAAGAACAAGTGAAAGAAAATGGTATTTAAAAAAAACGAAACAGAAACAGGTTGTAAGGCGATGTAGAATATTACAACTTATTTGAATGAAATCTCTGAAAAAAAAAATAAAAACAAAGGGTTTTTTTTTGCCCAGGGCAACAAGCAGGTTAGGTTTGTACCTGCATTGAGCTAAAGTTTGATGGGGTAGTAGCTGAGAGTCACAATCTGAGAAAGAATATGAGATCTTGCAATAACATAATTTATAAATGTAGACAAAAATGACTAAAACACCATCATGTCTTAATGTAAGATTATCTTAGTTTAAACATTGTGGATGAGAGGAGGCAGGTATGTCAAAGTCAATGTCAATGTATTTATATAGCACATAAAAAAACAACAAAAGCTGACCAAAGTACTTTAGAGGTAAGTCAGATGCATTCCTTCAAGAAATGCTGGAACTACATTTTCGATTATAAAAATCATCAACATATTTTCATTGTGACCTGCAATGTAAGCTACTAGGCTTGACTAATTGTCACCAGACACAACACATATTGATGTAGGTCAATTTCTATCCTGGGGAAAATGCTTACCATTCCATATTCATTCTTTATATTAATGCTGTTTATTAGATGATTTGCAACCAGTACAATATCAAACAGATTGCCAGTGTAACTTGTTTTGATCGTCTCTTTTAGTAGGAAGACAAAATATGTTCACTAATTTTGTTGATGACCATATATCTACAACAGATGCTTGTTAAGGTTTTATCTGAAATGAATTTATCTTGTAGATTTTTACTTGCCCTGTGATGAACTTGCTGCTGTCCAGGGTGTACCTCACCTCCTGCACAGGGGCTGCTGAATATGGGCACCAGTGATTCCCATGAACAGAAAAGGAAGAAGCAAGTAAAGATGATGGATGGATGGATGGATGGATGGATGGATGGATGGATGGATGGATGAATGGATGGATGGATGGATGGATGGATGGATGGATGGATGGATGGATGGATGGATGGATGGATGGATGGATGTTTTACTTGCCTGAAGTCTGTTTAGCATTTGGACCATATTTTAACACTTTAGTGTCTACTGTGCCTCTGAAGTGATGTTTCATTTTGTAAAGTTGTAAATAAATAATTAAAATAATAAAAGAAATTCCATCAACCGTATTTTAGAATACCATGACTATAGACTATGAACAGTGCAAGATAATAACTTTACAAACATTAGGAGCACTTACTAAAATAAAACTGCATTATGACAAAAGAACAAATTCTAGATTTTTATTTTATTTGCATTCAAACATGCAGGTGATTTTAAATTTGACATTCAAAAGTAAATCTTCTTGGAGTTACACGTAAAAAAAAAAAAAAAAAACTTTTTTAAATGTATTTATTTTTACCCTATACATAATTATAAAATTTATTTAATGACTCTTCCAGTCACACATTTTTTTATATTTCTCTCAGGATGCAATAAAATTATGTAACATTTTGGCACAAAAATACACAACAAGACACCAAAACTAGAAGCTAATATTGCAAATATTTCCACAGCTACTGAGAATTTGCCAGGAGAGCTCATATAAGCTGGAATGAAAGAGATCCACACAGCAATAAAGATCAACATACTGAAAGTGATCAACTTTGCCTCGTTGAAAGTATCTGGTAGCTTCCGTCCAAGGAATGCCAGAATAAGGCAGAAAAAGGCAAGCAGGCCAATGTAGCAGAGGACAAGGTAAAATCCAAGAGGCCATGGCTCCTTACACTCCACAACAATCTAAACAGGCCAAACACATATGGTGATCATTTAGTATGTCTACTCAACCTAAATGTGAGAACAAATATTAAAATGTGTTGTGTGTAAAAGTATACTATCTCTGAATAGGATGAACAAAAATAAAAATAAAAATAAATAAAATTTGATTTTACTTTTCCATTTGAGCTTCGGTATGACAAATTCCTAAACGGGAAAGGAGGAGCCCCCAGCAGCCACCCTGTACAGAGACAAATCTGAGAGCAAAATACTAATAAATACACAAATAAAAGTTACAATATTCACAATCACATTTCCTGCTGGTGAAAATTATGTCATCCACACCAAGGTAAATCCCTCAAAAATGTCAAAAAATAAATAAATAAAATAAAACAACTGGGTTTCTAGTCTGTATTTAAAGACATTCAGCTTCCCATTTGGGTCACTTCCTCAGTTCAAAACTGGAGAGCTCAAATTCCAATTATAGTCATACCTCTGTATTGGGAAACTAACCAGAAATTGCACAGACGCATGGCTCAACATAAGAGAACCAACTTTTCAGGACAAGATTCATGTGTCCATCTACACTTCGATGATTAAGGACCCTCTTCTGAGAACAATATATTAATATTTTGGACAGAGAAGACAGACGGTTTGAGAGGGGTTAAAGAAAGCAATTTATGTAACAAGAGAGAAAAAAACAACTTTAAACAGAGTAGGTCTTAGTGTTCAGGTTTCCAAAACCGTCAGTATCAAGCCTAATACCCTGCCAGTTTTACCAGTGCACACATTCAGGCACATGGCCAAAACTTCTCTTTTGGCAAACAAAAGCTAAAAAAGACCCTAACTATTCACCATTGTAAGAGGTGTGTTATTAAATGATCATGTGGTTAAATAACTGAGCCTCTCAATTAGGCTTAAAAAGTTTGGAACTTTACACTCTACAGTTTTGATTTCAGGAAGTTACTCCTATGGGAATCATAAACTCTTCAACCATAAAATAGACATCTGATTAATAAAATAGTCAATAACGTTGTTTATTTTGTTTGTTTTAGTGGTGTTGTTTTTATTTACTTATTTGCATTCAGTTTTTGTCAAGTTACATTTAAATTAACAACCTAATGTTTTTTTTTGTTTGGCTGTTTGTTTGTTTTGTTTACCTGAGGAGCTGTTATAAAGAAGATCATACTCCTTTGCTGAGATGGACCGAACAGCCTCAGAGCCTTGGGGCCAGGTACATTAGCCTT